GTCTGTACTCCGGTAGGGCACCCCCACAGCATGCCAATGTGGGTCTGTACTCCGGTAGGGCACCCCCACAGCATGCCAGTGTGGGTCTGTACTCCAGTAGGGCACCCCCCATGTGCTGTCCACTAACGCTGAATCGCTTGATTTGTAAAGAGCTGAAGCTGGGTGTAGCGGTGTGTGCCTTTAATCCCAACGCGAGGGAAGCAGAAGCAGTCAGATCTCTGAATCCGAGGCCAGTCTAAGACTACAGAACAAATTCCAAGACAGCCCCGGCTACACAGAGAAACCCTGTCTCAAAACAAAACAAACAAGCAAAAAGAAAGAGTTGAGTATATCTTAGGCCTGGGCAGTTCAATGAGAGGGTGATTTCTTAGTATCTGAGTTGAAGCTCCAAGCAGAACTGAGTATAGCCTTGTATTCCTACTTTATATTAATGCCAAGTGTCTTGTGTCACGACTTTCAGAGCTGGGAATGGGGTGGTAAAATGGGCAAGGCCTTTCCTCAGAGCTCACATTCCAATGGGAGAGATGAACTAGAAACCTAAAACTGGCACCAGGCTGGGCACCAACAACGTGGTAGAAACAGGAACGTCTGAATTCCGCTCCGAGAGCCTCACAAAGAGGAATGGCTAAGAAAATCAACGCTTGGCGTAGTAGTGCGCACTTGCAATCCCAGCACTTAGGAGGTGGAGAGGAGAACATAAGGAGTTCAAGGCCAGCCTCAGCTCCATCGTGAGTTTGGGTCCAACATGGTCTACATGCGTCACACACAGACTTGGAAGGAAAAAGAAAAATCAACGGGAGAAAAGATAAAGTCATTGTACTACGCTGAGACAGCTTGGGTTACAGAGAGAATGAGGGCCTCTGCCAACTAGGGTGGGGTCACAGAAAAAGGGCTCTGCAGTTAGTTGTTTTTACTCTTTTGGGGGGCCCGCCACCCACTTCCCAAATAAGTCATACACAGAGGCTTAGTTTTACTTATAAATGCCCGGTCTTAGCTTGGCTTATTTCTTGCCAGCTTTTCTTAACTTAAATTGTCCCATCTACCTTTTGCCTCTGGGCTTTTTCCTTTTCTTAATTCTGCAAATCTTACTTTCACTCCAATCTGTGAGTGGCTGGGCAGCTGGGTGGCTAGCTCCTACCATCCTCCTCTCCTTGTTTTTCTCTTTCTCTTCTTTCTTCTCCCAGATTTCTCCTTCTGTTTATTCTCTCTGCCTGCCAGCCCTGCCTCTCCTTTCTCCTGTCTCGCTGTTGGCTGTTCAGATCTCTATTAGACCATCAGGTGTTTTAAACAGGTACAGTAACACAGCTTCACAGAGTTAAACAATATTCTACAGCAGGGCTCTTGAGAGCTGGATTTTGAAGGCTGTATAGGATCCCACCCGGTAGAAACGGAGGATGGGAGCTCCAGGCCAAAAGGTCTGGGGTCTGCTCTTCCGCTTTCAACAGATGTTGATTCAACACAGATATCTGTCAGGCACGGCTGTGAATGCAGAAGTAGCAAGGCACAGCCCGATCCCCAAAGAGCTAACCTAAAAGACAGAAATAAACAAGAAAGTTCAAATGGCATGGTGAGTTCAAGTACAGAGGTGCACGGCAGGGTGAGCTCTGAGCTAATTGTCCACAGCAGCAAAAGGCAGAGGGAGGCTAATGAAGGAGCCTATGGAAGCTGCAGCCAGGCTGAATTTTGAAGGATGGATGACACGGCCAGACAAAAGAGCAGCCTGAGGGAGGCACTAAGCGGTGGAAAGAGGATGGGGTGTTGAGCAAGTCTGAGGGTGGAGATGGAGTTTCACAGAAAGCAGGCTCCAGGACGAGGAGCAGTAGGTCCGTTACCATCAGTGTGCTTGCTAGTGTATGACTTCATCCCCAAGGGGATGGGGAACCCAGGGCAAAGTTAGCTTTTCAAGAGTTTAGCAAATGCAATGGCCCTTTAGACTTCCGGACAGGTCTACCAGACACGATGAGGCCAGAAGCTGAAGGGGATGAAATAAAACGAAGAAGGGTAGAGGCAGAATCCAGTCACAGGGACCAGCTCGTCTCCAGATGAGTGTAAATGTGGGTGCAGGGCAAGAGTGGCAGAAGGAACTAGGGGTGGAGGTGACCAAAGTATGTTATCCGCACATGAGAGTTCTGTCATAAAGCATATTAGTTTACACAATTACTATAGTCTAATAAAAGTTCTCTGTGTGGTCCTGGTTGTCCTGGAACTGGCTCTGTAGATCAGGCTGGCCTTAAACTCACAGAGATCCACTTGCTTCTGCCTCTTGAGTGCTGGGATTAAAGGCATGCGCCACCACCACTACCCAGCTAATAAAAGATTCTCAGATGTGGCCAGGACACAAAGATAGAAAGGTCGTATCTATTGGATAGAAACTATCCTGATTCTAAACTGTAGACTTTTGATCTCTATGCTTGGGTTCAAAGAAGATCTAAAGATTTAAGGGGCAAAAATGCCTTAGTCTGGATTAATAAACACGTACGAGTACTTTCAGAGACTAATAAGGGCTCTGGGGGTGTCCTGGGGATCCTGGTGTGTGCTTTGGGTGTATCGTGGATCCTGATGTGTGTTTTGATTCCACAGGGCCAGAAAGGAGTACTGGCAGAATCTTCGGATAGCTTCGGGCAGACCATACAACCCTTCAATGTCCAAGCCAGATGCCTGGGGAGTGACCAAAGGGACCTCGGAGTTGATGCAGCAGAAGGAAGCCACCAGTGAGCAGCAGCTGAAGGAGCTCTTTGAGAAACAGAAGTTCAAATCTGCACAGTAGCTGCAGGGCCACCATTTGGGGTGAATTCCTCTCTGTCTGGGCCGCAGCATGCACAGAGAAGGAAGAGGTAGCTGAAAGGCAATGCTTGTGCCCATACCAGCCTGTACCTATGCTTGGCATTAGCTAGATAAAATAGAATCACACATAGCACTTTACAGCTATAAAAGGATGCTCTAGAAGTGTACTAGAAACCAAGAGAGGAAACGTCCACAGTAAATCCTAAACAGATTTCCTGAGTGTCTGCCATGTTGACAGACATTCCAGAGATCACTGCAGCAAAAAGAAAAGTCACTCAGATGTTAGCCCCACTTCAGGTAGGAGGATGGGACATAGTAACCACTCAGGGACCATATCATAAACTGCACATTTTATGTAATAGCCCTGTAAAACAGAACATAGAACCACAAGGAAGAAATGAATAACCCATTTTGGAATTTTCTGTTTTCCCCCCTTCCATCCCATTTCATTAATAAAGACACGCTGGTTGACACGCTTCAAGGCAGTTTTTGTGACCCATTGATGGTTTTGATTAATGCTATGGAACACTTCAGATACAGGGCCCACCCAAGGTAAATATATCAGAGAAAACCAATCATATGGGACTAGTTATTAAACATCCAGATCACAGAATCCTGTTCTGAGAATGCCAGCATTCTCTCTGCTCCCAGACTCACTTCAACCACTAAAAAAACAGATGCATGCGGGGGAGGGAGAAGACAAGAATGGGTTGCTGTCTTGATGCGGCTCAGAACTGGACCCACTGAGGTGCTTCCACGAACCAGTTAGATGCAGAGCAGTGAGTCTATCCTTTGGTGGCTTAAAAAATAATTGAAAAAAAAAAGAGATGTGGCCAAGTGTGCTGGCTGCATCATCAGGGGTCTCTAGAGGAATAGAAGTCATAGGATGAATCCATATTAAGAGGGGATTTATTATAGTGATTTATGATTTATTACAGTAGTTTACAGGCTGTGGTCTGGCCAGTCCAACAATGGCTGTCTCCCCAGTTCACAAGGCTGGATATCTCAGCTGGTCTTCAGTATACATTGGAATCCCAAAGAAGTGGGTTCCACCAGCAAAGGCATGCCTCAGATGAACCTGCCAGTCAGAGGGAGGGCAGGCAAGAAGCAAAGGCTTCCTTCTCTCATGTCCTTTTATGTGGGCTTCTACAAGAAGGTACGGTCCACATTTAGAGAGGCCCATTGTGTTTGGTGCTAACCTGGACAGGTAGTTCTGGCGTATCTAAGAAGGAAAAGTGAGCAAGCCAGTAAGCAGTGCTCTTCCATGGCTTCCACATCAGTTCCTCCTGCCTCTAGGTCCCTGCCTTGAGTTCCTGCCCAGACTTCCGGATGAAATAAACCTTTTCCTTTCCAGATTTTTTTTTTTTTAAATCACTGTCTTTTACCACAGCAATGCAAATCCTAGACATGCTGTATGAGCCTGAGGGGGAAGGGAGTGAGAAAAATGTGTTCCATTGGGGCCGCACACGCCACAGTCCGATCAGAAAGCGATCGGTTACTTTCTCAGCATTTGCGACACGTTCGCACCCGGGGGCCGATCTTGCCAGGCCACTTGTTATTGTACGTTTAACTGTAACCTTTCTCAGCTATTAAAAAAGAGTGGCGACACCGGCCCCCTTCCCCTGCGGTCATCATTTGTGTGCACCCAAGTCCATCCTGGCTGCACTTAGGCACTCTGCGGGTTAAAAAAGAACACATGGAGTCGAGAGGGAAAGTGGAAGCAGGGGCATGAAGGAAGCCAGGGAGGACGGAGGAGGGGTGGACTTCATCAGCACACACTGCATGTGTGCATGAAATTGTTAAACAATAAAAAGGCAAGTGAGACTGTCTTGATTAAACTTGATTCATTGCGGTTCTGTAATTTTAGTCTTGTATAAAATCTCTACACCTCAATTTCCCCATCTATAAAAAAAAAAGTAGCAATGTTTATTTCTCGGGGATGGTAGAACATTAAAAAAAGATACTGTGTATGAAGGGAAAAGAAACTTCTGGAATTTTCTAGGAGTTAATCCCCTGTTCCCAGAACATGGATCTAAAGCAGCACACCTTTCAGAGAGAGCCAAGCAAGAGTGGGCTCTCCCACCCCCCTACCCCCCACCCCCGTTTTCCTTTGCCAGCTGGTGTCTCCTTTGTTTCTCATATTCTCAAGCCAAGTTCAGTGTTTTTCCATCTTAGACGATAGAAACGCTACCAGACTTACAGTTGTCTTACTCTGAAAAATGTATCCCCCTTTAATATTCTTTCCAGAACTTTATTACTGCACAAAATATTACAGTCTTTCATCATTCTTATATCCTTTGATTTAAAAGAAAAATCTCATCAGAAGGAACAGTGATGATGAAGCTATTCTTGAACTGTGTATCAACACTGTCTCCTAGTGGCAGGCTTCACCACTGGACTTTTTTTTTAAATTCAGCCCCTCCTCCTCCAAGCACATACTGCTTCCAAACTCTTGTTCATTACAAGAGAAGGCTCATTTAATGCCTCAGAGTTTATTTGAGTTAAATAGATGTTTCTTTCCAGTAGAGGTTTTTTTTTTGTTTTTTTTTTTTTTTTTTTTTTTTTTTGATTTTTGTTTTTTTTAGTGGAACCAGAGCCCAAGGTAGCTTAGACATCAAAGTCCAAATGCTCCCTTTTAAGGGCAGGATTTCCAAGGCGGGATGCCAAGTCAGGAAGCTCTCCTTGCTAGTAGTCCAAGGCGGCCAAGAAGGATGGTGTAGTTAACTCAGCCCCACAGGAGAGTGGAATCAGAACAGATGGTTCTCGAAGCTAAGGAGGCATCTCTGGCCCCGGGAAATAAAAATCCCTGGAGTTACTCGGATTTGGCATAAACTGAATCAACTTTTCAGATTATGGTCTGGCATTTCTTCACATGTCTGCAAAACATGTCTGCATTGGACAGCCAAGCAAATGCAGAGGCATAGGGGATCTGGGAACTGGACTGGAACCGATCAGAACTTCAGTTCCCACCGTCTCCAGATGGGGGCAGCAGCTCGCCAGCAGGGACTACCTGAGAAGCCCTGGCTCTGCTTTGAAGAGCTGTTTCACCAACACAGATTCATGTTACTTGGCAGAAATGTCCGCATCCCTTTTTGTTTTGGTCACTTTCTTTCCAGCCCTAAGACATGTGAATCTTTGACTAACATCCAGGACAGCTAACCCAGCAAGAAAAGCCTTATATGTCTCCAACCAGATTCCCTAGATTTCTCCCCTGCTGTGAGCATACTCACGTGCTTGTCAACTTTACAGACTGTTTTTCCCAAACAGTTACCCAACAACATGCCCTCAGCCGGTCTGGAACTTCTCACAAGCTGCTTACTAGGTCAACGACTCTGAGTCTGAAACAAGGAGAAAGTCAGCTTGAAGGAGGAAAAGCACCCAGGAGCGGCATGGGGAGTAAGCATGCATGGTCCTGTGTGAAAGAACTAAGGACCCAGCATCTTCATAACGAATGTTCAGCATCCCAACCACAACAAAACACGGCAGACATCAGCATGCAAGACTTCGTTACAAACGACCATAGGCAGTGCAGGGCACCTTTGTGGAAAGTGACCCACTCACAGCTAGGGAAAGCAACAGCCACAAATGCTTCCCCTTGGAAAGCAGCTCCGACCTTGGAGAAGGGACAACGTAAAGGTGGAGAGTGAGGGGGACAGGTGTCTTCGCTGCACTGCTGTGAGCTGCTGGAATAGCGCCAACCTGGTCAAGTACAGCAGAGCCATAACATGAGAGACACAGACAGAGACCCACAGACAGGGAGAGACAGACTAGCCAGACTGAGAACTGCGTTTTACTCTCATGAGAATTCAAAGCTGATCACACAAGAGTCTTAGGACAAAGGTGGCCATCCTCAATGTAAGAGTTCGTGTTGTTTTGTAAATAAATGGACTAGTTGGGCGGTGGTTCTGATTTTTTTTTTTAACTATTAAAATTGAACACATTGAGTGTGCTGTTGAAGCCCTGTAATCGCAGTCCTGAGGGAGCCTGAGCTGGAAGCATCCTGAGTTGGAGGCCAGCCTTGGCTCCATAGGGAGACCAGATCTCAAAATACCAAGGAAAAAGTGGGAGAGGGGGAGGAGGGGGAGGGGTGGTGGGATGGGAAGTGCTAAGTTGTATTTGATTCTCATTTTAGCTTTTTAGTTTGTCCTTAAATTTGGTTAATTTATGTGCCATTAAACTCGTGATAATTTTAATGAGGTATTTGACTTATGTTTATTTTTAAATCTGTGAGTTTCCCATGTACATTTTCACATGAGAATAATCTTATTTATTTATTTGGTTGGTTGTTTTTGTGGGTTTTTTTTTTGTTTGTTTGTTTTCTTTTGTTTTTTATGCCTGGTTTCTCTGTGTAGTTTTGGTGCCTGTCCTGGAACTGGATTTGTAGACCAGGCTGGCCTGGAACTCACAGAGAGCCGTCTGCCTCTGCCTCCTGAGTGCTGGGATTAAAGGCGTGCACGATCATGCCCAGAGAAAATAAGTTTCAAAGGAAATAGTTAGCTTACTTTTAACAAAAATATATTTCTCCAAATTCCTAAAATATCTTTGGCAATCACCAGTTACATGCAAATTATTAAGTGCTATTTATAGGGTGCATAAATGTGTGTTGTTTTTTCAGGGGGTTCAGTTAGACCTACGTGCCCCCGTTCTCTGCTTATTTGTTTTAATTTACCACATGGCCTTGAAAGGAAGAAGCTGAAAATCTTTTTAAAATAGCTCAAACCTTTCTCCAGCTCAGCCGGGCCATTCTTCCAATTATTTGGACTTAATGAGATTTTACTGTTCTTTGCAGAGGTTGATGTCATGAACATCTGAACCAGCTTGGTGGGACTCAGCCATTTCTCAAAAACACCAGGGCAATGCAACAGAAAAAATAAAAGTAGCGAATGCCTTTAGACTCAGGAGTTTGGGGCACCCGTTCAAGCTCTGCTCTTCCTTGTTGTGAGAGGTCCAACAAGTCATCACTCCTCTCTGGCTTTCCCAACTTCACTTCCTCTGTGAGAAGACAAACCTCAGACACAGATTTCTTCCTAATTTGCTGACACCAGTAAATAGCAGCCTCAATCTCTGCCGATATTTGCTGAGTGCCACTTGGTGGTGGGTTTCCAGCAGATTTAATTGTTAATATTATTCCCTGGCTAAACAGACATCAAACTAAAATAACACTGTTGGGGGGAGGGGGTGGGGCTGCCTTCTGAGTAACCTCTGCCTGGTGCTGAAAACTGAAACCATCACACACACAAACCCAGCCCTGTTTCCTTATGGGGTTTGGGTCTGTGGCTTTTCAGAGTGTAGCTGTCTGTTTCCAGGGCTGGGAGTTCTTTGTAAGTTTACATAAGCCATAGAAGTTCCAGAAACTGTCATGTGGATAATCCCCGTTTTAGAGTTCTGTGTCTTCTGAGGAAGGGACCGAACTGGCTTCTCACATTTTGGGAAGATAAAAGTTTGGGAATGAGAAATGGCAGAATTATCCTCTCCTGGAGCTATTCTCAGCAGTGTGATGAGTCCCAGAGTGATGTCTCCAGCCTGGACTGTTCCCAAGAACGTGGGCACACATCAGTTCAGCCTGTAGACCTAAGCCAGCATCCCTGCCTGCGCCCCACACCCCTTCTCAGGGTTGGTTACCCAGACAGTGTGCCCAAACCTGGACCAGGTCCTATATGACTTCCGCTTACCAGGGGTGACTTCCTCAAAACTCTGTCCTCCTCCAGGCTAGGAGTGGCCAGTGCCAGCTGTTCCCCCTGAGAGAAGCACCCCCAAACCTGAACCAGATGGCACAGGACTCAGTCCTGGTTTGTCCTCTTCTGGTGCTCAGTGCCCTTCTACATTTTGTCTTCACATCCTACTCTGGGTGTGCTGAGAAGCCCTGAAAATCACAGACTTAGGTTCTAGGAAGGGACCCAGAAGGACTGGGTGGTTTTCATTAGCCGCAGATGTTCCTGTCACCGGGTCTGATGGGAATTCGATGTCTGGTACGGGACTCTAATTTGGGATGTTTTCATGTCAGACACAAGACAAGGTCAAGGTTCTGGGCCACGGAAGTTCTTCTGCTAGCCCTTGCCTTGATGGAGACTTATCTCTGCTCCACCCAAAGTGTTGCTTAGGGAGGTCAACTCACCTCTCCACAGGATCCCTTCCTCATGTCAGCCCATTTCCTAGGAATGTTTGTAACCTTCTCCTCTGAGGTCACAATGTCAACAGGCTATTACAGTCAATGTCCCTGTCCTCATGGAGGTAATGCCAGTGTGGTCTCTCGGCTGATGTGAAGTCAAGTGAGATAAAGAAGGGACATTCCTTGAGTGAATGAGACCTCTCTTCTAGTCTCACTCCAGACTCACTCTCTCCTAATGGAGGTGTGTGGCAGCCAGGAGTGTAGGCAAAAGCCAAGGAGGTCGCATTGTGCTGCCGATACCTAAAAGAATTAGACAAGTTCAAAGATGTGTCCTCTCACACGTAGGGTATAAAATTCCAAATGACAGGGGCTGGAGGGATGACTTTAGTGGTTAAGAGCACTTGTTCTTCCAGAGGATCTGAGGTCAGTTCCCAACACCCACATGACAGCTCACAATTCTCTGTAACTCTAGCTCCAGGGGATCCAACACCACCTTCTAGCTTCTGTAGGTCACACACACACACACACACACACACACACACACACACACACACACACACGTCATGCGTGGGTAGTACTACCTTTTTCGTGCCGTGGGAGATAAACATAGAATGCTTGCCGACAAAGACCTCTCTGCTCTTCTTCCTCACTAGGAGCAGGTGGGTCTGCCTGCCATGATGACCCTCATGGACACTGCTTGGCCAGCAAACTCGTAAAACGGACCCCCGGCTCAACCTATTGTTCTAACTCTTCAGTCAGGTCGTTGGACCTCACGGGGGATCCCTCTTTGTTCTTCAAAGCCCCCCACCCCCAGCTTGTTTCTATCTCAAGGCTTTTGTCCTGGGTGCTCCTCAGTGAGGCCTTCGTGGCCCTGCAGATTTCCACGAGTCATTCATGCCTCGGATCAAATCCTTGCCGGAGGCCCCTCTCTATGGGTACAGTGGTCCAACTACATCCCAGTCCCCACCTCGGTCACAGCCAAACAGCCTCGCTGTCATCCTTCAAGGTGTCCCGAGATCTGCTGGTTTGCTGTCTCCTCCGGCCTGCGCCTTAAGCCCTGGGACCAAAGGCCTGACACAGATGTCTTGAGGGAGGGAACATGTATTCGGGTTCACAGCTCCAGTGTTGGGAGCAAAGACACAGACACCGCGTACAAGGCAGAGAAGGTGGCGGAGGCTCTCATATCTCGGTGCATCAGGAGGCAGGATGGGAGACAAGCACCGGAAATAGATCCCACACTCATAGGCCCGCTCCCAGAGAGCCGCTGCTGCTGTGTAGGCCGACTGTCTCCAAGCTTCCACACCCTTCCCAAACATGGCTGGGAAGCTCGTGTTCAAATGCCCACGCCTGCTGGAGACGCTCCACATCCAAACCACCACCCGCTGCAGCTCCAGCACCTTCCAGAAGGCTGGGCACATAGGAGGACTCAGCAATACCAGTTGGGTGGTTATTTGGAAAATAATGATGCTTCTATAGAAACACAGAAAGTGGAGGCCTGTCAGTGTGGGGGTGAGGGCCAGCATTCTACACCAGGGGATAACTTTCATTTAAAAGGTGTGTGTGTGTGTGTGTGTGTGTGTGTGTGTGTGTGTGTGTGTGTGTGTGTGTAGGGGAGTTAGGCCACTCTCGTTGTCTCCCCGAAGGTCCCAACTTCCGAAGTCCTCAGTTGTAGGTGATACAGGAGATCATAATCTCAACTTTTGTAATTGGAAATGTTTCATAATTAAAAATAAGCAAGCAAACAAACAAAAATAAACAAGTCTTAGGGCCCAGTAAGAAATCTAAATAAATGAAACACATCGGTTGAAAGTTTAATGGCGCTGGAGATGGTCCACTCTGGACACAGGTAATCATGCCCAATCATTTCCCTCAACTCGGGTGGGAACTCCACCAAATGAGGGGGAAGTCAGCCAGCATGTGATCCCAGCACGGCACAGGCCAAGTCCTATGTCCCACACCACCTACCCACTCCACTCGGTAGAAGATTTATGAAGGAATTTCCAACGGCTCAGAGACCAAACCCCCAACGACGCTGAAGCCGGGTCCTCCTGCCCAGGCCCATTCTTCTCTCCCAGTTCCATTTCGTGACAGATGGCTCCTTCTTCCATCTTCTCCCCAGCTCCCCGCAGAGAAGGTTGGTTATAGCTCCTCCGGGGGGTTCCAGCTGCAATGTCCAGCCCTCCCTCTCCCAAACCTCTCCCTTGAGACTTGTACCTGCAACCAGCACCCACAGCCCCCTTGGTCCTTGTTCTCTTCAGTTCTTTCCCAGGCCGTTCCCCCCAGTCCTGCTAAGACAGGCTGTGGAGCCTGAGCGCCTCCCTCCAGATGACGGTCATCATCCTGGAAAATTAGAACCACCCATGAAGGTGACCCAGCCCACACCCTCCCTCCCTCCCTGCGGGTTTACAGTCCCTGGCTGCCAAGCCACTCTGGAAACAGGATGCCTTTCCTCCACTCTGACAGCCCAGCTAGGAGGTCGTCTTTAGTCCGCGTCCTCTGTGGTATCTAGGGTCCCGTACCCCACCTCTCGGTCTTGCTCAGTCCTTCAGTCCCGTCTCATTGCACTTCTTTTCCTCGGCTATGGCTTTGGTTTGGCACCTGAGCTACGTGTCGGTTGCGTGGGGAGCTTCCCGCCTCAGGATGGCTGGCCCTGCCTCAGTTTACAGCATATGATCTGGAGCGCCTCAACTCCCTGGCCGGCCTGGAGGCTCCTCGGGTGATTTCCAAGAGCCAAGTGGACAGCCCCTCAGTGCCCTGCACCCACGCCCAGGGGCCCCCGGAGCTCACCACTGAACACTTTCCCGACGTCCCGGGCTTCCCCTTCGCTTCCTCTCTCTTCCCTCCTGTGTGTCCACCCAAAGCCTCGACCTTGGAGCCATCCCACCCCGTTACACTTGGACGCCCATACGAGAGGCCCAGGGCTCGGCTAAAACATGCCAGCTTTCGGCAGAAGGCAGGTCTTACCCAAGGGGCTGTCTGATGGAATTTAAAGACTACCAGGAAGTCAGCCAGGTGGCGGTGGCGCACGCCTTTAATCCCAGCACTTGGGGGGCAGAGCCAGGTGGATCTCTGTGAGTTCGAGGCCAGCCTGAGCTACAGAGTGAGTTCCAGGACAGGCACCAAAACTACACAGGGAAACTCTACTCGGGAAAAAAAAAAAAAAATACCAGGAAGTCATAGCAACCAGCCCTACTAAGTGCTGAAGGAAGGGCAAGAGCTGTGAATCCAATAGGTACTTGGAGTTTTCAAATGAGTCAGGAGAAGGAATCTGACTGGCAGAGAGGATCAGCTGTCCATTCCTAGTCCGATCAGCTGTGGCTGGAGCCAGGTGGGCACGTCTTGGAAAAATGGCTGACTGGTAGCTCATGAGAGAAAGAAATCAGGCTGAAAACTCTGATGCAGCGAAGTTAAGGGTTGTTTACTGCTCTTCCTCATGGGAGATGGGGGACGTTTAAAAGTCTCCAAGGGGCCAAGGCACGCTGAAGTGGGGAGGAAGAAGCAGAAGAGTGAGACAGAGCGCGGCAGAACGAAACGCCCTACTGTGTGTCAGGCCAAGTCTGTCCACTTCCTCTGCCAGGTGCGGCAGCTACCACGCTTTCGTCTGCAATGTGCAGGATTCCACAGGAATCATCTTGGACTAGTCCGTTACCAGAGCAACGAATTGCTATTTACAAGATAGAGGAGAAAAGAACAACAATTTAGGGCCAATGCAATACCTAAAAGAATGAGGAGAAGGTTAGAAAAATGAAATATGGCTATTATCCCCTTACCCCCCCCCCAAAAAAAAACCCCACTAAAGTGGGAGAAAGGCTGGTTACAATACTTTTAAGGTATGACAAGAACCTGGAATTCTACCTGTCACATCTTCTGCCTGGGAAACAAGGGTGATACATAGCACCACTGTGACACGTAGGTGCTATTACAGAAAAGCATCTCCAGGTGACTGCCCAAGGGTAGCCACCTGTCGGAAGCAGGTGACTGTCGGGATGAATCAGAGCTGTGTAAATTAACCAGCGAGTACATTGTAGGCAGAAATATGTGTTAGCGAGAGACAGGAGCCTTGACTATGTGGGCAAGAGTGGGCGTGCAGAGAATGAAAAACAACCAGGAAAGAGCAAAACAGATTCCCAATTCTTCTCCTCCGCCGTGTGTGCAATTTAGTAGCCGGGCTCGAGTTTTCAAACAGGATAAGAGATGGCCAACAGCAACATCAGTGAAGGGCCCATGGAACCCAGAGAATGGCTGATGCATTTTTCACACCAGAGAGTGAGTCTAAGAAAGAACAGTGGTACTTACTTTGAAGGTAAACTCAAGTACATATTTCCTCAAGCAACTCAAGGCTGCTTTCCCGAAGGCAGGCAGAGCGGTTCATTGATGAGCCTGTGTAAGCCTTATTGAGTCCTCAGGTTGTAGTAACCCACACTCCTGATCCAGTGTTTAAGATCAAAGAACAGGATGAGTCAGTATGAAGAGCTCATTAAACCAAGTGTGGTGGTCTACACCTGTGATCCCAGCACAGGGGAGGCTGAGGCAGGAGGATTGTGAATGTGAGCCCAGCCGGAGCTACTCCAGACCCTGTCTCAGAAAACAAAAGTAAAGAGAAAAGACTATGTCCCAAGGCCCACGGTCTCAGATGTCATTACCTCTCTTCCACGTCCCCAGTACCATTCTGCAGGCGATGCCCTTTGAGGATGTGTCCAGAGACAGACAGGGAGAGGAGAGTGAACAGAAAGATGCCAGGAAGACTCGGAGGCCTGGGACTTGAGCCACTCACCTTGGAAAGGTGAAGAAGTGACCTTTCGGCCTGTCCCACTAAGCCCCAAAGAATGTAAGAAAAATGATCTGGCAATGATGTGTCTTCTGCGTACCTCTTGACTCTGATCTCAACGAGATTCTGAAGCCCTGGTCCCCCCCTTCCCCTCGGGAATCTTCAAAGATGTAAAAATGATTTTTTTTCCTACTAGATCATTCAGTTTCTAGGAAACCTGCTGATTTCCTGGAACTCTTTTGTATAATTTATAAAGAGCCTACAAATTCACACACCAAAGGCTCTGCT